GGTAAACCGCTCCATCAGAAACATAACAGAAGCAGAGATCCTATTTTCTTGGTGGCCATTCCACTCCAAATCTCAAACCCAGAATCCAGAACACAAATATCAAACATGTGATGTGTGTAAGTATAAATTGAAGAACAATGGCTTTAGTACCCAGTATAGACCCCTGCACCTATCCAGTCATCTTCATATTTCTCTGCACAGAGCATCCCGGCTGGGTGACAATCCCCCAAATGACACTTACCTGCGCTTGCCTGCTCCATGTTAGGGCCTAAACTACAAACACAGCAGATGGAAGAGTCAAAACCCTGTGTCTTCCCTATTCCACCCATGGATGAAGGCCTAGGACTGCCACTCCTAGTATTTTACAGACTCCTGGCCCTTCATGCTAACATTTGCTCACTACAGTATAGGCACTATGTCAATCCTGGTATACAGAGGAAAATAATTCAGGCCTTGCAGTTCAATATGGAGACAATGGAGGCTGAAATAAGTACAGCCTTCTGATGTTAGATGAGAGAAAGAAGCCAAATTTTTTGAACAAAGGTAAAACGTATCACCAATATATTTGACAAATCCAGGCATACTTTTTAAATCACATTGTTCCAGTTCTGAGGATGTTTGTTTTCTTTACTGTGGTGTTTGACCTTCATCAGCAAATATTTTAAATCCTCTGCTTCTAGCAAGTTGTGTCATCTGCACTTTGCAGGATGTTAGTGAGTCTTCCTCTGCTTCTGATACCACATTCTTCATAAAATTCAGCTCTCAGATTATTTGTTCAGCATAAATAATAAATATATATATGGTGAAAGGATACAACCCTAGTGAGCACCTTTCCTGCTTTCAAACAAAAATTAGAAACATTAAATTATTAAGAAACATTGACTTAATGGAAAATCCCTCAATTCCCACCCATCCTGTCCTGTTCTGCAACACAGCCAGTGCCCTACTGTTGATGTATCCTCCAGTCTTTTTTGCTACAACAGCAGTTAGGCAGTGGCATGGTTGTGGAAAAACTGAATACATCCACTTACTGACAGGTTCCAAAGGCCAGGTTGTTTTGCAAATTTGGTGTTATGTGACAATGAAGGATGACCACATCAGATTACCAAATAGAGGATGACTGTATCACTGAACTGCCAAACCACTGAGAATCATGGCCGACATAATTGTAACCATCACGGCAGCATTACGCTCACCTTTCACCTCAAGTTCCTTACTGCCCAGAGTAGCAGGATACACTTTGTCACTTTGGCCATAAATGTGAAATGTTAGATGTCAAGTGAGGAGTAAAAAAAACTGAAATAAGAGTTTTCCTCCGGAGCCAACTGAGAGACTTTCCCTAAAGTCAATACCTTATGAATTGGGCTGCTAATCTCACAGTCAGCAGTCCAAACCTACCAGTGGTTCCACGGGAGAAAGATGAGGCTTTCTACTCCCTCAAAGATTTACAGCCTCAGAAACCCTATGCAGGGTCGCTATGAGTTGGGACGGACTCCATGGCACATAACCACCACCACCATCAGCCTCCAAAGCTATTAAGCAAAAATAAATTTTTGTTCATTAAAACCACACCCACTTGTGATGTTTCAGTCAGAGCAGCACTCAGAAACCAAGGCACACGCACAGCAATTGTTTGTGGCTGTTGAACTTCCAAGGATGCTCTTCTCTAGATTGTGATACAGCTTACACTTGTAGTTAGTTAATTATGCACCTCTCTGCTCACACCTCCCATGATGGCAGGTCTATACTCACTGGATAACTCCTCTAGACCTCCACATCATCATAACCAAGCTTAATTTTTCTCCACTGCATCACCATCTGACATACAATATATGAGCGGTTATTTTATCCATAAACTTTTTAAAGCTCCCTCATATTTACTGGTTATTCAAGTGTCTCACCCCCAACTACAATGCACAGGATCAGGAATGCACACGTCTTGATTCCTTGCTATTGACCTTGGGCATAAACAATAGGAACAAAAGAGCTATGGACTCTGGATTCAGACACCATGGTTCAAATCTAGACATTACTATTTGCTAACACACTGAACTCAGGCAAATAACCTAAACCTGCTTGTCTTCAAATGGAAATGTTGATGTATCTATTTAGAACTTTTGTGACAACTGATACACCTTTTTATAAACACCAGGTCAAGAATGGGTAGCATTAAAAACTTGAAATACAATTTAAAAGCCTGGTCTAAAGAATTCAAAAATCCTTATCCAACTATTAAGAAGTCTTGGTGCAGTGGTTAAATGATTAGCCTCTAACTAAAAGGTCAGCAGTTCAAATCCAGCAGCTGCTCTGTGGGAGAGGTTGTAAAGACAGCCTTGGAAACACCTATGTGGGAGTTGTACTTTGTCCTATCGGGTTGCTGAGTTGGCATCCATTCAACAAAGGGTTTTTAATCCCACAATTAAAGTAAGCATAGTTTATTTCCACGTACTGAATAGTTGTAAGAACCAACCAACGACCAGGGATATGTGTTAGGAGCTTCATCCACATGGCAGTATAAGAAGCCACCCGAAGAAACTAAATCGGGAAATAATGACATTTTCAACAGTAGCTGAAACCAATAATTGGTTTATTTTTTTTTTCCCCATGTAGTAAGAATACAGAAGTAAGAAGTTGAGAGCTAGTGGAGCCACTAGACAGAAGCCAACGGGAGACTACAATCATTGCAAGCTTTCTGCAGTGCCCTCTTTCTTTATCCAGTGGTGTTCATCCTCACAGTCACAAGAAAGATCCTTTAACACGAGGTCAGGATCTCTTTTCTAGGTTGGGAGCAGAGGGGATCTCAAATAAATAAATAAATACAATTAATTGCATGGAAAACAATCCCTTTTTCAAAAACTTACCCAGAAGTCCACAGTGACTTCTGCTGTCAATGGCCTAGGCTGGGGTACATGGACGCTACGAGTTGCAAGAAAACCTGTAAGATGAAATTTTTTTTAAAAAATAGCACTTTATTGACCTGACAAACAGCAGATTGTCTTCATATGGAAGATGACGAGAGTGGATACTGAGGAAGCAATTAAAAAATATATGTCACTGTTGGCTAATCATACTAGAGGACCCAAGTGATGTAATGACCATCAGGTTCTGGACATAATGCTTTTGTATTAGATGCTAATAACAAACAGGTATTAAAAACACCCACGTTACTCAGTACAGGCATACCTCATTTTAATGCATGTCACAGGTTATGCCTTTGGAAAACAAAAAACAAAAAAACAAAACACAATTTGAAGGTTTGTGGCATTCCTGCATCAAGCAAGCCTATGAGTGCCATTTTCCCAACCTAACAGCATGAGCATACTTTATAATCGGTCACATTTTGATAATTCCAATATTTCAAACTTTTTCATAATTCCATTACACACTTAGTAGACTTCATTATGGTACAAACACAACTTTATATGCACTGAAAAACAAATAGAAATTGTTATTTGTGTGATTTACTTTATTGCATTAGTTGCTTTAGTGTAACATAGTGGGATAGCTGAGGTATGCCTATACAAAACATACTACTGAAGATCCCACTCTCAGTTAAGTTATCCAAAAGGAAATCGGACATTCAAGAGTTAAGTCATAATAAAAAGTACTATATACAAACCTTTTGTGATTAGGCTTAAGAGTTATTTAGAGAAAATGAAACAGACTGAAAATTAACAAACTGGATTCCATTTTCCTGATAAAAGACAAATAGAGGTGATCTCTTTCATTGGAATATTCTTTGTCTTCCAGTATGAATGTTCATCTGCACAAGAGTGGAAGTGCTGTGGCTGAAAGCATCTCCACACTGACTACATCCATAGGAATTATCTGCAGAGAGTTCTCTCACATACTTCCTGAAAGGAATCACAATGATTATATTTAAAAAGACTTTTAAGTGTCTCTATGGGTGAGCACTCACATTTTGTAAAAACTGAGGGATTAATGTAGATCATGATTTCTCCATTTAAACAATCTTGACATCTTGGAGTGGAAAATTCCTTGCTGGGAGGGGGCGGGTGTCTCCTGTGCACTGTACTATTAGTTGCCATTGAATTCTTTCCGACTCAAGGCAACACCATTTATGCAAAGTAGCACTGTTCCATGGGCTTTTCAAGGCTGTGGCCTTTTGGAAGGCGATCACCAGTCCTGTGTTCCAAGGTATCTCTGGGTGGATTTGAACTGGTAACCATTAGGTTAGTAGCTGAGGGCTTAAACATTTGCACCACCCAAGAACTCTTTCCTGTGAATTGTGGGATGGTTAATAACATCTCTGAGGTATTCCCACTAGATACTAGCAGCACCTTCCCTCTCCTCCCAATTTAACAATAAAAAATATCTCTACACATTATCCAGTGTCTCCAGGACAAGATCGCCCTGTTGAGAAGCACTGCTGTACACCAAGGAGTGGCAAAGTTTTGCCGTAAAGAGGAGATGGCAAGTATTTCAGGCTTTGTTGACCACACATCATCTCTGTTACATATCCTTCTTCTTTAAAAATGTAAAAAAAACAAAAAAACTATACCTAGTTTGTGGAGCATATAAAAACAGGCCACAGGCCATAGTTTACACAACTCTACTGTAGACTTTACTCGTGTGTGTGTGTGTGTGTGTAGGCTTTTGTCTTCAGTGATTTCTTTCATGAGGAACACAGTGCAAGACCAGTAAAGAATACCCTGCCATTGCATTCAGAGAGATTTTCTTTGTTGTGTTTACTCTTATAACCCAAAAGGTGAGACGGCACTAAAAATATTTCTACATTAAATACCAAGCATATGTCATTTTTACTATGAGTTAAGTGCAGATATACATTTCTATTCTCACAGATGACAAGAAACAACCCAAATCCTCATAGATGTTATAAAGATTACGTTTCTCCAGCTTTCTGTTTGCTTTTTAGTCCAGTAAAGTGAGAGCTCATGAAAGCTTTCCTGCCTCTTATATCTACAAGTTTTTTGTTTTGTTTTTTCCAGTCTAAACTCTGTTTCTTAAAGAAAGCATGTTCACTGTAGCCGCTTCCACACTGATGACACAAAGAGTTTGTCCCCTCGGTGTGTTTTCACATGACTTCTCAGGGATGAATGGTCACTGAAGGCTTTGCCACAGGCAAGACATTCATATGGTTTCTCCCCAGTGTGTATTCTCCGATGCACATTAAGGTTAGAGCCTATGCTGAAGGCTTTCCCACAATGATCACACTCATACGGTTTCTCTCCTGTGTGAGTTCTCATGTGTGTGTTAAGGGTGGACTGGTTTCTGAAGGCTTTTCCACACTGTCTGCATTCAACTCGTTTCTTTACAAGATGAATGCTCATATGCCTTCTTCGTGATAAGTAATCACTGAAGACCTTCCCACAGGCAGTACATTCATAGCGTCTCTCTTGGGTATGTATTTTCCTGTGTGCAGTGAGGTTTGAACTTGCACTGAAGGCCTTTCCACATAGATCACACCCATACGGCTTCTCCCCAGTGTGAGAATTCATGTGTGTCTTAAGGATCGACTGGTTTCTGAAGGCTTTCCCACATTGTCTACAGATAACAGGCTTTTTGACAATATGAATTCTCATATGTTTCCTCCTTGATGTAACATCACCAAAGGCTTTCCCACACTCTTTACATTCATATGTTTTCACTACCATGTGGTTTTTCTTGTGCAAGTTAAAGTTAGACTTCCAGCGGAAGGCTTTGCCACACTGCGTGCACTCATAGGGTTTCTCCCCAGTGTGATTCCGGACATGCTCTTTAAGGTGTGAAGGGTGCTGGAAAGCCTTCCCACAGTCGTGACATTCATAGGGTCTCTCTCCAGTATGTGTCCTCTTGTGTGCAGTGAGGTGGCAGCTCCTGCCATAGGCCTTCCCACACTGGTCACACTCATAAGGCCTCTCCCCAGTGTGAATTCGCATGTGTATCTTCAGGGAGGAGAGGGTGCGGAATGCATTTCCACACTGATTGCATTCAAAGGGCTTCTCTTTTGTGTGAGTTCGAACATGACTCCGAAGAGCTGAAGGATCATTGAAGGCTTTCCCACAGGCACTGCATTCATAGGGCTTCTCTCCGGTGTGTATCCTCTTATGGCGTGTGAGGGAAGACCTTGTGGTGAAGGCTTTTTGGCACTGATGGCATCCGTACATGTTTCTCCCACCATAAATTTTCACATGTTGGGTGAGATGCGAGCTGTCTTTGAGGCCTACCCCATAGTCATGGCGGTGATAGGGCCTCTTCCCATTCCGACATCCCAACTGCTGAGTAAGATGAGCCCCCATGCTGAAGACATCAAGAAAGTGAGTATACTCAGTGGGTTCCTCACCAAGACCAGTTCTTTCCTGTTGATTAAAGAGATGAGTGTTGAGTAAAGCATTTCCTGTATTCATTACATTTATAGGAATTCTCTCCAACAAAAACTGCTATGAATAGGAAGGAAGCACATCATTGACTACAGGATGAAAGATGGCATCACTGACAAAGTACATGTTCTCTTCCTACTCCATTTGTGGTCTTTCAATTAGAACAGATGAACACTATGCCATTACTGTTATTGATAAGTGCCATCGAGTCAGTTGACTCATAGTGACCCTGTATAGGGTTTCCAAAGAGCAGCTGGTGGGTTTGAACAGCCAACCTTGTGGTTTGTAGCTCGGTGCTTATCTTATAAACCTGGAGTCCACTATGCTATTATTGTTGTTGTTAAGTGCCATCAAGTCAGTTCCGACCCATGGCGAACCTGTATAGGGTTTCTGAGAACTGGTGAGCTGGAACTGCCAACCTTGTGGATCAAACTGACTTTGCCAGCACATTAACCCACGGCACCAAACCAAGACTCCACTACGCTATTAGGCTCCATCAAAACTAGATTTATAGGCTTTTTACATATACAGCTTGGTTAATTATTCAAAAGTGAAGCAAGACTAACACTCAATATCCCTGAGACATGGTTATGGAAATAATAACTTTTCAGAGTTTAAGTGAAGAAGTCTAAAACTATGTTTAGGGTGTCCCTTCAGTCTAAGAGCACTGTCTCTAAAATGCTGCTTCCTCTTGATCTACTTCTCTGACATTAGGCAGCTCCAGACTTCTAATTTGGAAGATCAGGAATTATCCCAAGAAATCCTTACCAATGTTACACCACTGGATGTTTCCTTCCCAAAAATGTCTTCTATAAGAAGAGACCACTTTGCTTTTGATGGAATCTCCCAACCTGAAAGAAAGGTAAAAAAATAAAATAAAATAAAAATGACTTACTGGAATAACAACGACAAAAATTGGTAAGACTGCTTTTTGTAACCAAAAACATGGAAAAGTAATATAAAAGGGAAATACATATGCACACACGAGTCAAAAAAGACTGCTTGGTATTTAATTCTGTGAAATTTATGTATAATGATATCCACTCTATTAGTTGATGTCAGAGTTAGTTCCAACACACAGTGACCCTTCATATAACAGAATAAAACACTGCCTGGTCTTGCACCATCCTTATAATAATTGTTATATTCGAACTCAGTATTGTAGTCATTGTGTCAATCCATCTTGGTGAGGGTCTTTCTTTTTCATTCTCCAGAGATGTGTCCCTTCTCCAGAGATGCATCCCTCCAGATAACACATCCAAAGTTTGTGAGACGAAGGCATGCCATCCTCACTTCTAAGGAGCTTTCTGGCTTTACTTCTAACCCAGATTTGTTTGTTCTTCTGGCAGTTCATGGCACATTCAATATTCTTCATCAACACCATCTCTATATAGGGTTGCTATGCGTTAGAACCGACTAGATGGCACTCAACAATAAACCAACACCATAATTCAATTTATTGATTATACAAAGGCTTTCGGTTGTGTGGATCATGACAAGCTATGGACAACATTGTGAAGTATGAGTATTCCAGAATTCTTAATTGTGCTCATGAGGCACCTGGACCTGGACCAAGAGGCAGTTGTTCGAACAGAACATGGGGACACTGAATGGTTTAAAATTAAGAAAGGTGTGCAACAAGGTTGTATTCTTTCATCATACTTATTCAACCTGTATGCTGAGCAAATAATCCAAGAAGCTGGCTTTTATGAAGAAACACGTGGCATCAGGATTTGAGGAAGATTCATTAACAACCTGCAATATGCAGATGATACAACCTTGCTTGCTGAAAGTGAAGAGGACTTAAAACATTTACTGATGAAGATCAAAGAGCACAGTCTTCAGTATGGATTACATCTCAATGTCAAGAAAACAAAAATCCTCACCACTGGACCAATAAACATTCTTATCAACAGAGAAAAGACTGAAGTTGTCAAGGACTTCATTCTTCTTGGATCAACTATCAACACTCACGGGAGCAGCAGTTAAGTGATCAGGCGACATATTGCATTATGCAAATCTGCTGCACAAAACCTTTTTAAAGTGTTGAAGAGCAATGATGTCAGCTTGAGGACTAAGGTACGCCTGACCCAAGCCACGGTATTTTTAATAACCTCATATGCATGTGAAAGTTGGACAGCGAATAAGGAAGACCACAGAAGAATTGATACCTTTGAGTTATGGTGTTGGAGGAGAATATTGAAAGTGCCATGGGCTGACAAAAGAACCAATACATCCGTTTTGGAAGAAGTGCATCCAGAGTGCTCCTTAGAGGCCAAGATGGCCAAACTTCGTCTCTCATACTTCGGACATACTGTCAGGAGGCACCAGTCACTGGAGAAAGATATCATGTTTGGTAAGGTGGAGGGTCAGAGAAAAAGAGGAAGACCCCCAATGAGATGGACTGGCCAAGTGGCAACATCAATGGACTTCAATAGTGACGTTGGCCCAGGACCAGGCAGTGTTTCGTTCTGCTGTGCATAAGGTCACTATGAGTTGGTACCGACTCGATGGCACCTAACAACAACATAATCCATAAGTATCAATTCTTGGATATACCTTGCTCATTATTTAGTTTCTGCATGTATGAAAGTGACTGAAAATGCCATGGCTTGTTAGGGGACCTTAATCCTCAAAGTGAATCTTTGTTCTTCAATACCGTAAGGAGATCTTTTGCAATAGATTTGTCCAAAGCAGTTAAGTCATTTGAATTCTTCACTGCTACTTCCATAGGCATTATTTATCCATGTTAATTTCCTTTGATCATTTATCATGATGTTGCTTATTGGTCCAGCTGGTTTACTGGTTTATGTTGAGGTATAATGATAGGGGAGGAAGATATTTAACTCAATTCACTGAGAAATAATTCTTCAAAGATTGGCACTGATTTGTAAAGACAGTATGATAAAAAATGTCAGCTATGTAAGATTAGGATAATAACATAGACTATAAACATAAGGGGCAGCCACCGTCAGCACCAGCCAGAAGTGAGGAAGCTTACTAGAGTGAAATGAAGGTCTCAGTGATATTTCTATTACCCATTCTGAATAAAAAACTAGCCTTATTTTCAGGAGTTAAGGGCAGATCAAGTAGCCTTATTCTAACAATTTCATTATGGCTGGAACAGACAAACATGGATGAGCTGAGTGTCACCTCAGACTATCTACTCAGCATTCCAAGTGGAAAATAAAAGGTTAGAGGATGTACTGTGACAATGCAAGGCATAAAATCACGATGGGATATGGTGAACACAGTAGTCTTAATGCCACAGAATGTTGTTCCAGCTGAGGTGTCCCATGTTTGTATAGTGAAGCCAGATGAATTCTAAGATAAAAAAGTAACACATTTTCGTTTCTGGAAAGAAAAGGACAGACTTGGCTTTGAAGTTATTTTAGTGTCTGCCAATAAACTGGCTCATTATATAGAACTATGCCAGTTAACAGAGGATTTTGGTGGAAGTCTTAGCTATGATCACATGGCTGGTTAGGTAAGAGGCTAGTTTATGAGAAATTTACAAAGGAGTCTACATCATTATATGATGAACTTGCTTTGATTAACAATGGAAGTGATAAAAATAATCAGCAAGAGAAGGAAAAGTTTGTGGATTTCAACTTTCTTCCATCAGTTGACCCTGAAACATTTCTTTAAATAGGACAAGAATTACTGACCAAATTACAGCAGCAGCATCGTTTTAATGGCTCAGGGTTTCCTATGAATGACAAATTGCTTGTACTGCCATAGGTTATGTGGTTATACAGTTAGATTCACTGAGAGAACAATATATTCACTAACAGGAAGTTTGTAGGCAACACAGTAAACTCACACAGTTAGAAGAGATTCAACAGAAAGTAATACTGGTTGTGAACGGGCTTGAAGGGCCTGAATCAGAACAACTAAGAGCCCAGAGGGAGATGGGAGACTCAGTGAGAACTTCACAGGCCCTGCAGCAGAAGCATGAAGATATCGAGAACCAGCACAGTGAATGGTCTGCAATATATGCAGAGCTTAATCAGCAGTACACTGCTGCACTCTTGAATGCTGGGGATGAAGATCTTGTGGAATTGAAGTCACTGCAGCAACAAATTTGTTGTTTGTTATCGACAAGGCAGTCAGCTGGAATTAAGGCAAACTCTGTTGGCAAGCAGCTCTTGAATTTCATGGAGTTGCCCAAGATTTGTCTCAGCAGTTGGATGACTTATTAGGGATGGTGTGCATAGATGTGGCACCAGCTGATGGAGCCTCGATTCAGCAAACCTTAAAACTGCTTGAAGAGAACCTGAAAAATGTTGATGTGGGATTGCAAGGGTTACATGAAAATGGTCAAGGTCTTTTGAATCAAATCTCCAATCAGGCATCTTGGGCCTATGGAAAGAATTTAATAGGCCTTGAAAATAAAGAAAATGTGGACCACATACAAAGAGATGGAAGGTTTACGGCTTATGAAACAAAGATATGAAGACATGGTAGATGTATGATGGTTAAAGATGATTCAGCTGACAAATCTTTACAGCGAGGATAATTCCCACCCCCTCAATACACAGGGTAGACAAGGATGGGCAACTTGGACAATGGCTACCCAAAATGGGGGGCTACAAAGGCAAGAAGTGACTGGATTACAAGCTTTTTAAGAGGGAGCCTAGATCCAGAGGGCATGGAGGAAGACAGAATCTCCACTGAGTAGTATCCAGTCAGTTTGTCTGGGTGGGGATGATGAAAAGAGATGAGGCTGGTACTCATGTGGCACAATAGTGAATAATTACTATCAGGACTAACTGTGAAGGTTGGAAATGTAAAGGTAGATGTTTTGTAGCAAAAGGAAGGAAGTGGTTGACTTTTCAGTCCAGGAACAGAGGTCCATGGGACCATCAAGGGAGAAGAGTGGAGTGCGGGACCCTACCCAGAGAAAAAGTGACACCAGACATAGAGACAGAGACGATGACATGGAGAGATGGAGTGGTTGGGGACTCTAGACCCAGAGAAGGAGAGGTGCTGTGTGTTCATGACTGTGGAGCAGGCTTGCAGGGTATAACCTTAGGTTGTTTGATGATGCATGGAGGGGACTGTAACCATGGCAATGAAATGATATAGGATAGGATGAATGTAATCTATCACATAATTTTCAGCTAGTGCAGTTATTTCAATGTGAGGAAGATGCCGCCCAGGCAGCAGAATGGCTACGTGAACTTGTGGAAGCTCTGCTTAAGACCAACATTAGATTGGGTGATGACACTCAGGAAACAAAAGTTTTTTGGTTTGTTTTTAGAAATCGATGTTTATTTTCTGTCAACCTTATTTCCATTTTCTTAGAGACTGAGAGAACAGCTTCAGACCACTCAGTGGTTGTTCCTACCCAATCAGCGGCCTGAACAGTGGGTGCTACGGACCCGGCTTCAGTTGCAGGCTGGATGCTCTAGTCTTCTTCATTAAGGAACTGCTGAATGGGCACAGAGGGCCCCTGCAACCTTCAGGCCAGTCTACGACCTCGGGCTGAGCAGCAGTGAATTCAGGGGCAGGCGCAGTCCATTCGCCCTGACATTCTTCCTTGGTCATAGCCTTTTCAGCAGCGGCCTGCTCTTCCTTTTCAGTTCCTTCTGGGTCTCTGTAGAAATAGAGGTCAGGCATGACTTCCCATGGGTGCTCCATGCAAGCATAGAACTTCCCGAGCCAGCCTCCACCACATCAGACCCGCTGAGTGAGCTCCCTTGTTGTTACATGAGATGGCAATGTCCACATAGCGCAGAGGAGAATCTGTGTTGCACAGAGCAATGGTGGACAAGTTAACATAAGATGCTTCTGTGAGAGGTTGGTGGTCAGCCCTGGGATCAGTAACCACCAGAAGCCGTGGCTCCCGGAAGGCTGTCTGGATCTGATTCGTGAAGGTTCCTGGAGTAAAGTGCACAGTGATAGGAATGGCTCCAGTGGCAGCAGCAAACTTCAGCACTGCTCGCTGGCCGGCATTCCTGGAGGAGATGACACTGACATCAGCTGGGTTTTCAATGACAATAATGACCCGAGCTGCTACCAGAAGCTTCTCCCAGGTCCTCTTCAGGTTTCTGATGTAGATGCCATCACTTTTCCTTTTGTAAATGTGCGGTTCCATTTGGAAGTCAAGGTTGGTGCCACCTCAGTGGGTTCCTGCTGCAAGGAATTTGAGGACATTTTCCTCCTTCATTTGCAGGACATCAACGGCTCTGAACATTGTGACAGTTTCCCCTTTAAGTTACGATGAGAACCCAGAACTACGTCATACGGACCCTTTTCTGGGTAGTGCAGAAAGGACCGAAACAAAAGTTTTACTGAAAAACTGCTCGTCCACCATTATAAGCTTCAGGCTCTGCTGGCCAATCTTGAAACTCTTTTCAGCATTTGAGTGAAACGCAATGGAAAATTCCACTGGTATCGCACAGAGCACTTATGACTATGGAAGAGAGTTGCGACAGGCCACAGTAGTGTTCAGTCAATCTTTGCACTGCACTTCTCAGTCATCTGGGGTTACGCTTCCTCCATTGAACAGAGTACACAAACAGTTTACGATATCATCTAAAGAGAATGTACATAGGTTGGAAATGACATTGCGTTTCACTCAAATGTTGAAAAGATTTTGCAAGATTGTCCAGCAGAGCCTGAAGCTATTAATGACCAGGAGAAATGTGACTGAAATTGAAGCAGTAGGGAAATCATTTTTCAATAGATTAACTGTTCCTATAGTTTATCATGATAGAACTGAACAGGATTTTGTATGTCCATTTTACATAGTTTCCATTGCAGAGCACATCAGAGAGAGGATGAAGCTAGTTAATCTCAAAAGACAGCAAATGAGACATCCTTAAATGGTGACCACCTAGAGCTAATAACTGCCAGCAACCCACAGATCTGCAATTCATAATCCCACATGCAGCTGGCAAGCTACAGCATTAGACACAATACATTCAGATGCATGTCACAGCCACGATAAGCCTCCTTTCTTCCTATGACTGATTTCTTTCTTTGCCAACTAACACGCTTTAAGACTTTAGGCTCCAAGTGTCTTAAAAGAAGGAACTACATACATTGCACTGAAAACTTGCTTTAAAGTTTTACCTGACATAACAGTTTACAGATGAACAACTGATAATAAGATTATAATGGTGCTAATAAAAGTTAAGTATCGCTCTACAGAAAAAATAAGCTTGCCCAGCCTCCTCCAATGATGTACACAATTTAGGCTGTATTTAAAGTGCTATCAGTAGACAATGGTCTCCTCAAAATTTTACTTTGCAATTTTGCTTCAAAATTGATTATTTTTATTGTGTTATTATGGAGACAATCCTTCAGCTCTTTGAATATATCCTATTCATTAAAAGACATTTTCCTATTTGTATTGATAATGTATTAAAAAGTTGTTTGTGCTTACTAAAAGGTTTCTTTAAAAAAACAAAAACAACAACAACGAAAAAAAACAAAGATGAAGGGCAATGAAACCACAGAATTTTTGAGACCACATGGGCATCATAAAAGAAAAAGGTATTTTCAGTTTCCTCATTGATATTTGCTAACATACCTCAGCATGAACACTGAACAGAGCTGGCATTCAAAAGTGCACACCCATGCGTCTGGTACGCACCTTGAGAGAATGCTTGGTGAGCCTCCTTCTCCTCTGTCCTCAGCTCCTCTTCCTGCTCCAAGTGGGAGATGAGGCTGGGCTTGCCAAGCTGATACCCTACTCAGAGGGAAACACACGTTGAGGGAGGACTAAGCAGAGGATAACCCTTTTTTTCTATTATACTAGGGCCAACATGTGTTTAATGAAGATGGACAAGTCTGATTTAGGAGCAGCAAAATGGAGGTGACAAGTTTCTTATCAAAACAAAACCAAACAAAAAAACCACAGTAGAGGTCTCCATAAAAAACAAAACCACAAATGCCCATACATTTAGTCCTCCAAAGAATGGGGGGTTCTTATCTTAGAAACCCATACTCAAGCTCAGACACACACATGAGAACCTCCAAGCTCCATGACTTAGTATCTACGGACAGACACAATGAGGATAAAGACAGCTCCTACTTGTTCAGAGCAGTGTGGTGAATCCCCATAAAGGTCCTGGATCACAGCAAGGGCTGTCCGGAACCACCGGAGTTGGAGCAACGACTGGGTAAGTGTAGAACTGATGCCAGCCTTACCCACTGAAGTGAGGTTGCTATAGTTCTCCAGCATTACATCTTTATACAGTTTTCTCTGAGAAGAATCCAGCAAGGGCCACTCTTTCTCAGTAAAGTCCACAGCAACATCCTGGAAAGTCACGGAGTCCTAGAACATCACATACAGTCTGCATTACTGAAAAGTCAGACTATCAATGTTCACAGAAAAGAGAGCTGACGTTGAAGACAGGAAATCAGAGACCCAACATGCAGGATTTTCAGACAAGGATTTGGGGGTCTCAGCTTTAGTGGCCATCCTCAGAAATCTTCTCTTCCCCATGAGGTGATCTCAGTCATCCCTTCAGATGCACCTCTAGCACCAGACCAAATCTCTCTCTCCACTTCTAGCCTGGTCTAGGAGCTTCTAGCTCCATCTCCAGGGTTGAGCGTAATCCTGAGGCTTCGGCCAGCTCCTGCTTTATTTATTGTTTCCCCTAATATACTGACTCCAGGATATTCTCACAACAGCTCTCTCTCTTACACTCTGATCATGCATCGTTCAACCAGGATGAAGAATTGAAAACAGACCTCAGCATGCAGTAGTAGGGACCTTCGAGAGCCATGTCTTGCCTACCAGCAAGGGTCCTGATCTCTAGGTATACCTGCAAACTAGCCCCAGTGGGCATTTGAGGCTCCAGGTCATTACAAGGAAAAAAGTCCATACTCTGGGGACAGGAATGGTCTTTTGAAGGAAGAGAACTTTCCAATTCCTGGAGACAAGCAGGGTCCTGGGAAGACACAGCTAAAGGAGAAGAGAGGAACCATGAGAACCAAAGTATGCTCAGCGCTTGAACAAGTACAAATCAGGACACTGCCCCACAACAGCCATGAACATCCACGCCCTGAAAACACAGACAAAGATGTACACACCAAAACATATACACCAACACAAATACTTCACAAGATGTCACAGCATCCCTGCTCCACTAAGGGCAGAAAATAGGGCAGGGAAGAAGTGACCTTCACAATTTATGGGTGAAATAAATTGAAGTTCACAGAGGTAAAACGGGTAGTTGCCATTGTTTACTAACATAAATAAATGGGATAGTGTAAGGTTTACTCACCATCTGTGACCTTTCCTCACATACCAAGCACACAGACTCCCTCCCTAAACCCACAAAGACCCTAAATTGAACCCAAATCACTTGGAAGCCTTGTGATTTTGCTTCTCCCACTTTCCAATTCACCCAGTCTTCCTAGGCACCCCTTCCTATGGCTATTGCACTCAGTGACTCCTCTAAGGGACAGGGGCCACGTGAGCTTGATTTCTGAGGGCATTTACAGACGAAGGAACTTACCAAGTATGGGAATCATATCTGGAGCTGCCATACTGTGAAATGACAAGAAATCTGCCCAACAATCAGGCAGTGGGAGAGTCAGGAAGCTCCCCGTCTCAGTCTCAGGGCTCTCCAAACAAGCATCTGTAGTAAACAAGAGAAAGTGTAAGCCTGTGTGGCCCCACAGAGCAAAGTGGAACTGCCCATAGGGTTTCCAAGGATGGAATCTTTAAGGAAGCAGACTGACCAGCTGGGGGTTCACAGGCCAAGGACCTTCTGGTTTAGTGCTTAACCACTTCATCACCTTGACAGAGTAACAAGGAGACTCAAAAGCTTTCCTTCTCTCTGCATATTAAGGATAGTCCTCAGTTTTATGCTTTCAGCATTTCCTCTTTGAGCAGTAAAGTATCTAATCCAGGACCAGTATCTTATCTGGGTAAAATTTCCAGGAGGTGTAGGACTGAACAATCTCAACTAAGATTCAATATTCACTCTTCCCACGTGATTTGTCATTAAGGACAATTATGTTGAGCTCCATCGCTCATCAAAGATTTTAGTCCAGACTTCTGTTCTGAATCCCTGCCATCAAGTATGGATCTAGGAATCTAAAAATCCCTGCATCTAGTATCCACAAGTTAGGGATCCATCTCCAAAGTCCTTTACCCCTACACTCCATACCAACCATACATACCCCTGGCCACAGCACAGACTTTGTCATCACTGGATTCTGCTTTATCTCCTAGATGTTGTTGAGTCAGTTCTAACTCACAGCAATCTTGCATAAGGGTTTCCTACGAGCAGTCAGTGGGTTTTCCATCCAGAGTTTATCCTACAGTGCCACACTATTGTTGTTGTTGTCAAGTCAGTTCTGACCCAAAGAAACCCTGGACAGGGTTTCCAAGGAGTGGTTGGTGAGCTTCAGTCACTGACCGTGCAGTTCAAGCCAGCCTTGCAGTCCAGAGCATTAATCCACAGCGCCACACCAGGACACCTAGGAACTCCCAAATAATGATTCGGGTATCTGTTCTCAGGAAAAATCTCCTGCTCAGCCTTCTTCTCACATTTACTTTCTCACTGGAGAAGATTCCACGTCCTGCATACTTCTACCATCTCGCTCCCCAAAACTCGCCTCCTCTTCTCATTGTTAAACTAATAAAGCTGAGATTCATCATTATCTTCAACAATTTATATGGCCAAATCCCTCTGTCTACTACCACCCCTAATAAACAAAAGAATAAAACAATACTGGATAATTCCAAACATCTGCCTCCAGCCTGAAACTACAGGTCAACCAGTCACTTGGTACCTAGAGAAATGCAAACATCACTGATCACAAAAGAACACCTACGTGAAGGAGCCCTAGGCAAACCAATCTCCCTAAAACAATGTCAAAATTTTATTAGTGCTTTTCTAAATCTCAAACTTTCTTAGCACTGACTTGCTTTCAGAAAATAATCTTTACTTCGACTTCCCAGTAATCATCACTTTAAAAGCACATGAGAAAGAAACTGGAGAACAAAACGTTAAAGCAATTCCTTTAAGTCTGCCAACCCTTAAGACTGCCATTTATGGTGCATTGTTAGGTACTGCCGAGTGAGTTCTGACTCATAGGGACCCTACGCACAACAGAAAAAAACACCGTCTGATTCTGAGACATCTTCACAATTGTTGCTATGCTAGAGCCCATTGCTGCTGTCACTTTGCCAATCCATTGCATTGAGGGTCTTACCAGTTTTCACTGACTCTCCACTTTACCAAATATGATGTCCTTCTCCAAATACAGCAAATACCGAATAAATCAAATGAAAACTGTGGAAGACCTTGATGTTGTTGTTGGATGCCCCTGAGTTGATACTGACTCATAGCGACCGTATGCACAACAGAACGAAACACTGCCCGGACCTGGGCCAACCTCACAATTGTTGCCATGTTTGATCCCATTTGATGCTGCCACTTTGCCAATCCATCTCACTGGGGGTCTTCCTCTTTTACTCTGACCATAAAAAACATGATATCCTTCTCCAGCGACTGGTCCCTCCTGACAATATGTCTGAACTATGAGAGACGACATTTGGCCATCCTGGCCTCCAAGGAGCACTCTGGCTGCACTTCTTCCAACACAGATTTGTGGGTTCTTTTGGCAGCCCATGGCACTTCCAATATTCTCCTCCATCACCATAACTCAAACGCATCAATTCTTCTCTGGTCTTCCTTATTCACTGTCCAAATTTCACATGCATATGAGGTTACTGAAAATACTATGGCTTGGGTCATGCACACCTTAGTTCTCAAGCTGTTATCTTTGTTCTTCAACACTTGTAAAAGGTCTTATACAGCACATTTGCCTAATGTAATATGTCTTCTGATTCCTTGACTGCTGCTTCCATGAGTGTTGATAGTTGATACAAGAAGAATGAAGTCCTTGACAACTTCAATCTTTTCTCCGGTGATAAGAATGTCGTTTATTGGTCCAGTGGTGAGAATTTTTGATTTCTTTACATTGAGATGCAATCCATACCAAAGGCTGCGCTCTTTGCTCTTGATAATAAGAACTACAAAACACTTCTGAAAGAAATTAGAGATCTAAATAATTGGTGTGCTTTTCACATTCATTGTATTCTACCAAGACAACCACATCCACTTCCTTAACTTGAATTCGAATCTCTACCTTCTAACACCCATGCTCAAGTATGAATTCCACACATGAACTCCAAATCATATTTTCACTGTCTACGAATAGCCACTACTAAACACTTTACACCAACCTATTCCTCCTCTATTGTTTCCAGTCGCAACAAACAGCAATGGTACACTTCCATTTATGAGGGGACTTCAGAAAATTCATAGAAAAAATGCAATTGAAAGATAATGAAAAATTCCCACAAACTTTTTGAAGTCCCCTTGTATATAAAGTCAGATGATGTTGTTGGTAAGTGCTGTCAAATTGGTTCCGACCCATAGCAACCCTATATAGAGTTTCTAAGGAGCAACTGGTGAGCTTGAACCACTGACCTTGTAGTTCAAACAAATTTTCTGTTCAGCTCTTGGGCCTTCTCATTTCTTCCATTTGCCTTAGCATCTGTACACTGGAGAGCAAGTTTCAGTGTGTCTTCTGACATCCATTTTGACCTTTTCCTTCTTTTTCGTCTTCTCAATGACTTTTTGCTTTCTTCATGTATGATGTTCTTGATGTCATCCCACAACTCTTCTGGTCTTAGTTCTTTAGTGTTTAATGTATCAAATCTGTTCTTCAGATGATCTCTAAATTCAGGTGGGATATAGTCAAGGTCATATTTTGGCTCTCGTGGACTTGTTTTCATTTTCTTCAGCTTCAATGTGAATTTGCATATGAGTAATTGATGGTCTGTTCCACAGTGTGCCCCTGGCCTTGTTTTCACTGATGATATGGAGCTTTTCCATCTTCTCTTTCCGAAGATGTAGTCAATTTGATTTCTATGTATTCCATCTGGTGCGGTCCATGTGTATAGTTGTCTGTTATGCTGTCTACAGAAGGTCTTTTAAATGAACAAATCACTGGTTTTGCCGAATTCTATCATGCATTCTCCAGCATCATTTATATCACCAAGGCCATATTTTCCGACTATTGATCCTTCCTCTTTGTTGGTGGCTAGCAGTCCAGTGCTTATCCTACAGCATCACACCAGGACTCGTACCTCACCCTGTTGTTGTTGTTAAATGCCATCGAGTCAGTTCAGGCTTATAGCAACCCTGTCTAAAGTTTCAAGGCTTTTTAAATCTTTGAGGGGGCAGAAATGCCTCATCTTTTTCCTGATCTCACACTAGATCCTCACAATTACACAAGATGACTACTGCATCAATTTCCTTATTTGGGGCAAAGGGGACAGAGGTAGTCCATAAATACATTTTCTCCTTTAAAACTATTCTCACATGATTCTCGTTTGTGGCAGTCATTGCCCCGATGTTCAATTCTATCCCCCATATTCAATCTCACACCATCGCCTCAGAAGAGTCAAAGTCTGCAGACCCGTAAATGCTCTCATGAGAAAAACTGTTGCTGTTACTGATATTGCTGCCCTGCTAAAACTATGTTTACCAGTATTATTCAAGTTGCTGCGGTTGTTGTTAAGTACCACTGAGTCAGTTCCGACTTACAACGATCCAGTATAACGTTTCTGAGGAGTGGCTGGTGAGTTTGAACCAACCTTGAGGGTCAAACCAACCTTGTGGTCCTGCAGCACCACACCAAGACTCCAAGTCTTGAGGGAACAGAAAGTCTCATCTGTCTCCCATGGAGCAGGGATGGGCTCGAACTACAGACATTGTGATACACTGCCCAGTGCCTACCGTATAGAGCCACGGCTATGTCAAGTGGACACAAACAACAACACTTGTGAGAACACTCTGTGCCATTTCCTCAGATATTCCAGATGTGTGATACTAATAAACCACTATTTCTATATACTGCCCATTATCTTTAAACTTTCAACCAACTAGAGCCAACTAGACCAGGCAGTGCCAAGTTTCTGTTTTCAACAAGCTACTGATTAAACCTTCCACTCCAAACTTCCTCATGTACCACCTGAAATAGACAGTTAACATCTTCTTAAAATCACTGATGATCTGGCAATACAAAAGTATTAATACTGAGACCTAAACATTTTGCAGGTTCTAAAAGGAAAATATATGTTGAAATAGAAAACATAAATTAGCAGAAAATGACACACAGCTAAAAAGAGAGTGTTTCCTACGAGTGCTATCCAATGTCCACAGACTACCTGCATGAACATCACATAGAGAGCTTTGTAGTGGAACCTTACACAGGGTTGCTATGAGTGGGAACCACCAGCCACGAGAACTTTGTATAATTCTGATGTCCAAATCTCTTCTCTGTCCAAATAAATGAGAGTCTTTGAGGTGGATTGACAAGTTAATGTTCTAAGTAGCTTTCCATGTGGCTTTTATGTAGGCTCAAGTTTCAAAGCCAGTATTCTAGAAGATGGTCTAGAGTGCAGCACAGAAAAACAAATTGATGGAGAGTTTATAAGAGTGTTAAGTGCCATGGGAAGAGGACCGCATCGTTTCTAAACAGAGTTCAAAGTGGAAGAAGAAGGGACAGGCAATCACTGCAAAATATGGTGCCTGTGATGTTTCATGTAAGAGGAAAAATATACACATTGAAGACACATATAAGAAATCCACATTCAGACACAGTAACAGTGAAAACAGAGAACATCACCTGCAAAGACTGTATCGTAAGAGCTGTCACAGAAAAGTCACCTCTAAAGTAATGGTTCTCAAACTTCAACTTACATTAGAATCTCATGGAAGTTTGTTTAAATAATTACTTTTGTTGTAGTTGAAAATATACATGGAGCACTAAACCAATTCAACAATTTCTATGTGTATTATTTACTGATAGCACTTACATTCAAGTTGTGCGGCCATTCTCAATTCCTTTTCTGAATTAACATAAACTCACTACTCTCAAGACGCCTAGGGGAGTCTGAAAACACACACTGCAAACAATTCTCTCCAAAAAGCAAGCACAAGCTTATTTTGCCTCTTGAAGAACTTTAAAGAAATGAACATTAGAATGGCAGCTGATTTCTTACCAGCAACAATGGAAGCCAAAAGACAGTGAACTACCTTCAGGCTTCTGAAATGACTGGCCAATTATAAGCCTATAATCCAGAAATACCCATCAAGAAATGTCAAAACAATCATTTGGAGGGCTTTCCACCCACAGACATAAAATGGTGCATACTAAAGGGAGAAAGGAGGAGCTCTCATAGCGTAGTGGTTACGAATCAGGCTGCTAACCTCACAGTCAGCAGTTGGAAACTACCAGCTGTTCCACAAGAGAAAGAAGAGGCTTTCTGCTCCCATAAAGATTTACAGCCTTGGAAAACCTGTACTGGGTTGCTATGAGTCAGAACCAACTCCATGGCACATCACAACAACAACAAGAACAAAGGGAGAAAGATGTAAACCCAGAAGACACTTCAGAGTGTAAAAAAGCAATGTAATGCACATAAAGTAGCAAAAACGAACAGTATAATTAAACAAAAAAATGACTGTATAAAAATAATTTATTTTAAGGTTCAAAAAAAGATATGTGTCAGGATTGAGAGGGATGGGCAACTCAGACATTGGCTACCCAAAATGAGTGGGGTGATAAAGGTACAAAGTGACTGGCTTACAAGTTTTCAAGAGGGAATTGAGTTTCAAAGTGTGTCGGGGGAAGGTGGAGTCCCCACTAAATAGTTTTCATCTTGTCTAGACAAGACTGGTGAAAAAAGATGGGGATAAGATTCTTATGATTCACTATGAGTAACTGTTACCATGAGTAATTGAGACTGTCACAACTTTAAAGGTAGAAGTTTTATAACACGGGGGAGTAGTTAATCTTACAATCCAGAAACAGAGGACCCTACGACCATCAAGGAAGAAGAGCACAAGCAGAATATGGGACCCTATCCAGAGAAGCCATGATACCAGAGATGGAGGAAGAGATGAGGACATGGAGAGAGAGAGCAGCTGAGGACTCTGGACTCTAAACTCATGGAAAGAGAAGGACTGAAGTGCTGGAAATCAGGAGTCAGGCTTGCAGAATGTGCCCTTTGGTTGTTTAAATGATTATATATTCTTGACTGTTTTTGTGTATATGCACCCCCCTCCAAAAAAAAAAAAAAAAACACAGGGAATAGGAGCAAATACTGTTGAATGATTATGCACAGAGATTGTAATCAATGTGATGAAATGATGAATGTAAAACCGATGTTCTCCCATGTAAACTATCACTCAATTCACAATAAAAACTAAAAAAGAAAAAAAAAAAAAATGCTTAAAAATATGTGATAGAAAAACCAGAATACTGATACATATCAGAATCTCTACTTAATGAATGCAGTTATTAAGTGTCATCCAATTGGTTCCAATTCAAAGACACCTATGCAGAACACAGGGAATGCTGCCGAGTCCTGAGCCATCCTCACAATCCTTGCTATAAGTGAGACCATTGTTGTACCCACTGTGTCCACCCATCTCACTGAGGAGCTTCCTCTTTTTCGCTGACCCTTTACCATGTCAAATAGGATACCCTTCCCCAAAAACTGGTCACTCCTAAAAATATGTCCAAGGTAAGTAAGACGAAGGCTTGCTACTCTTGCTTCTAAGGAGTGTTCCAAGTCAAATTTTTTTCATTGATTTGGCAGAATAAACATCAATAATTGTTATACACTTATTCAAAATAATCATTAAAATAGTACATTTTAAATGTACATTTGAAAAGTGAAATGAGAAAAATATTCACACCAAAAGAAGCTAGAGAATCCCAAAAGAATGCAAAGGACTCAAGAAGATACTTGTCCACCAGTGTTCAGTGCAGCATTATTGACAACAGTTAAAAAGCAGAAACTGCGCATGTCCATCAACAGATGATGAATGGATAAATAAAGCATGGTTTACGTATACAATGAAATACTATTCAACCATAACAAGAAATCAAAGGCCGATACATGCTACCACATGACACAAAAGGATAAACTTAAAAACAGTACACTGAATGAAATAAATCAGACACAAAACAACAAATATTGTTTACAAGTACATTTATATGAAATATCTAAGGATTTCTGGTAGCATAGTGGTTACAAATCAGGCTGCTAACCTCAAGGTCAGCTGTTCAGTGGGACAAAGATGAGGCTTTCAGCTCCTATAAAGAATTATAATCTTGGAAACCCTGTACAGGGTTGCTATGAGTCGGAACCAACTTCACAGCACATAACCACCACCACATATGAAATATCTAGAATAAGAAAAACATAGAAACAAAAGTACATTGGTGGTTATCAATAGATAAGGGAGTTATTGCCTACGGGGCACTAAGTTTTGATTTGGGTTGATGAAAATCTTTTGGAAATACATAGATGATGGCTGCACAATTACTTAATGCCACTGGTTTTTACACTTGAAAAGGTTAAAACGGCATATTCCATATTTATTTACCACAATAACATTTTATATAAGGCTACTGTCATTGTTAAATGCTGTTGAATCAGTTCTGACTTATAGTGACTCTCTATAGGACTCTCCCCATACTTACTCATCCTGTATGCTGAGCAAATCATCCGAGAAGCTGGGTTCTATCAAGAAAAACGTGGCATCAGGATTGGAGGAAGACTCATTAACAACCTGTGATATGCAGATGATACAACCTTGATCGCTGAAGGTGAAGAGGACTTAAAATGTTTACTGATAAATATCGAAGAGCACGGCCTTCAGTATGGATTACATCTCAATGTAAAGAAAATAAAAATCCTCACCACTGGACCAATAAACAACATTCTTATCGACAGAGAAAAGATTGAAGTTGTCAAGGACTTCATTCTTCTTGGATCAACAATCAACACTCATGGAAGCAGATGTCAAGAAATCAAATGACATATTGCATTATATGCAAATCTGTTGCACAAGACCTTTTTAAAGCGTTGAAGAGCAAAGATGTCAGCTTGAAAACAAAGGTGTGCCTGACCCAAGCCATGGTATTTTCAATAACCTCGTATGCATGCAAAAGCTGAACAATAAATAAGGAAGACTGTAGAAGAATTGATGCTTTTGAGTTATGGTGCTGGAGGAGAATATTGAAAGTGCCATGGGCTGACAAAAGAGCCAATAGATCTGAGTTGGAAGAAGTGCAGCCAGAGTGCTCCATGGAGGCCAGGATGGCCAAGCTTCGTCTCTCATTCTTCGGACATATTGTCAGAAGGGAGCAGTCGCTGGAGAAGGATATCATGTTTGTAGGGTGGAGGGTCAGAGAAAAAGAGGAAGACCCCCAGCGAGATGGATTGGCTAAGTGGCAGCATGGATGGACTCAAGCGTGGCAACAGAAGTGAGGTTGGCCCAGGATTGGGCAGTGTTTCGTTCTGCTGTGCATTAGGTTGCTATGAGTCAGTATTGACTCAATGGCACCTAACAGCAATAGGATTTTCAAGGAGCAGCTGCGGAGTTGGAACCACAGAACTTGCAGCTCAAACTGACTTTATGGTTCAGTGCTTATACTATATGATTTCTTACATAAGGTTGTACTTGTCAACTGCTGTGGAGTTGGTTCTAATTCATAGCGACCCTATATATGGTTTCTTAGGAGCATCCAGTTTGAACTGCCGACCTTGTGGTTCAAATTGACCTCATGGTCGAGTGTGTATCCTACAGCACCACACCAGGGCTCCTTATAAGCTAGAAGAAAGAAAAGAGTTAAAAAGAAGTGGGGGAGGGGGAATATTTACACAGAAAAATATTAATATAAAGATGTTCCTGGACTAAATGCTTCAATTAAAATACAAATATTGTCACAACCGATTACAAATAAGCAGTCTGGTCTGGGTAAGACTAGATAAGAGGAGATGCTAATAGGATGATATGAATCAGTTGTGAGTGGTTAAGACGTTAACTAGAATTGTAAAAACCTGAAACTCATTAATGTGTATAAAATGAGCCATCCTAGAAGCAGGCACGGGGCCTCTCACCATATTCAGGGAACAAGAGCCTGGAGTGCAGCATGTCATTTGGACCCCAAGATCCCTGTAACTGAACCCGCTCAACCCAGGAGCACAAAGCGTGACACGGGACAAGTGGTAAGAGGAATAGCAGAACAAAGAGCCAGAGAGAGAGACAGAGTAGTGGGTTCCCTACCCCAGGGAGTAATTAAAGCTGAATGACTTTGGGCATAAGGCATGCGTGCAAAAGAGGGCATCTCCCGGAATTTAATCAGAGAAGTTAGGGTTGCTGACCCATGGAGCCAGAGCTGAGCACCTTCCAGCTGAGGCTTAAGGTGGAGTAGCGTACCCTGTGAGCAATTAACAGCAGCGCTAACCGAGCTTTAACATTGCTGAAGCAGGGCAGATGCCAGGGCAGATGTGGGCACCTCAGGACTGGCTGTCATGACCAGAAGAACTACACTCTGAACATTCTCAATCCTGAATTGTAATCTGTTAAAGTCCTAAGAAACCTTGGAGTGGGCTCGCTGTCTTGATTGCTACGTGGTCACTGCAGTGAATTATGGAAGCCAGCTGAGTCGGGAATGTGTCGGGAAGGATGGCTAGGGCCACAATGTTTGCTAGGAGTGAGACTTTAGGAGCACTGAGTGTATGTCAACGGTGGTGGAGTAAGTCGGGAAAGGACAGGGGCAATGATTGTACATAAAGCCCGTAATCAGGGCAAATGTTTTGCTATGTATTTTGTACCTCAGTTAAAAAAAAAAAAAAAAATAGACATAATGTAGGAAAGAAAATACAGTTCTATGTGGTTTCCAACAAATTATCAACAACTTATAATTGGAAAACAAATAAAATATACAAGGTGGGAAAAAAAGCTGACTCAACTATATTCTTATCAGACAGAATACAATATGATAAGAAAGTTTACTAGAGGAAAAGAAGGTCTTA